GCTGCACTGAATAGCTTTGACTTTGTAATGAACATGCCCTGTAACAAATTAAAAATTATGCTGGTGATTTTGTATAATGAGACAAACAAAATTTTAGGCAGAAATATTTGTAGTTTGCTGGATGCCGATGGTGGAGAGCACTTGTTAGGGTGTAATTAACAACATTTGGGGTTGAATATATCTTGCCTGTGACAGTTCGTGCAAACAAAGGCAAAATTCAACTTAATCAGCTGTACCAACAAATAGCTCAGTGTCACAACAGCAACAACAACTTGCATTTGCGTAACATAGGTTAATGTGTTGGGAGTGCTTTACACAGCTGAATGTCGAGCACGTTCAAAGATTATGTGAGGTACTGTGCTACGCTATTACAGTGATGGATACTGTTGTGGGGTTTCTGAGATGAGGGCAGAGATTGGTAAACTCATAGAACCATTGAAATTGACAATAACAAAGAAGAAGGCCATTCACCCTATCGTGTCTGTGCTGGCCGTTTTGGCATAGACCATTACCTAACTAATGCTGCTCAATATTTGGGAGGGAGGAAAGAAAAGAATTGTCTAAAAATGTCCTTTTTACATAGCTGATCGGAAAAGCAGCTACGATAGCTGACAGTTAGCTGACAAATGCACAGATTATTATTATAATTACTCCCAATAATATGTCTCATCCAATTTTGCTTCCAGCAAACTCTGCTCACTCTTCAACATACAATTTAAATTTATATAGAGCCTTTCATGTCGAGAGTGCTTCACACAGCTGACGGAGCACCAGAGCTTGGTGGGGGTGGGTGGGGGGGGAAAGGAAACATACAAAGCTTCATAATCACTACATCCACAGACCCGTGTGTCCTTCCACACAAAACAATCTGTACAAACCATCACTAACACACAGCACTCCCATAAAAAGACCCATACAGGTGGAGTCCTGTAGCTCAGTGGTTAGAGCACTCGCTTTGCAAGCGAGAGACCTGAGGTCAATTCCAGGCAGGGCGAAACCTTGGGCAAGTTTCCTTACTCCACACGCCTAATAATAATCCCTCCAAAACAAAAAACAATAATAAATTGGTCATTTTCAATCTACGATTGTTTGTGGGACATTGCTGTGTGCAATTGGCTGCCGCGTTCGCCCACAAATATACAGTCAATTTATTTTACAGTATATTCTGTGAAGCGCTTTGGGACATCTAGAAGACGTGAAAAGCGCTATATCAAATGCAAGGATTATTATTATTATTATTATACACTGCAAAACCCAAATGAGGTAAAACAAGTGAAAAACTGCATCAGTTTTGCAGTAGAGTTATTCTCTCCCTTTTCAACTAAAACAAAAAAGCAAAAAAACAGAGTGCTATTATTCAGAGACCTTATGGACAAATGGAGCTGCAGGATAAAACCAAAGAGCTGTGGAAACACAGTCCCATGTGTGTGAAAAAAGGTAGTCAATTTGTCAAGATAACAAAGAGTTGTTGAAGTTCTTTTTGGTCAGGACAGAGTGGAGGCGATGAGTAGGAATCATACTCTCTCAAAGTGACAGCTAACATGCAGTAGAGTTGCCTACCTATTTACCTCGTTTTATGGTTTGGAGATGTAACATGTGAAAAAAGATTTTTTTAAATTTAAAAATTTCTTTATGGAGAATCAATTTCTAGCAATCAGTTTCCTCTCTTGACGTGCATCATTTAATGGGCGAACATTTTATACGTGAGTCTCGGCGAGGTTCCAGACCATGACTGAACAAGTGCATAAGAAGATAAGAACATAAGAAATGCTAGACAGAAAAAGTCCATCTAGTTTGTCTTCCACCTTCCTGGCGGTCGCATGCACATATGTCCCAAACTACCTATGTACCAGTAGTAGTCGGTTTTGTGTGAATTCAAGTTACAAGATTAAACTAAAAAGCTCTAAAAGAACACGTGAACCTGCTGTCAAATTGCTTACACTGACAACAACTTATATTTATACACTGCCTTTCAAGTTGAAAAGGCAGAGTGGGAACTTGAAAAGTTTGGGAGATAGGGGGAATCGGATGAGGTGGTGAAAGGAGCGACAGTATTTGAAAACCGAAAGGGAAGGAGTGAGGCCAGAGTTCCAGAGAAAGGGGACAAAGTGGTTGCAAGCTCACCCACCAATGATGGGCAGAGGGGACATAAAGCAAGCCTGAGCTGGCAGAGTAGAGGGGAGTAGGATCACAGATCACAAAGAATGGGAGAGCAAAGCTATGGAGGCATTTAAAGGTGAGAACTTAAAAGGCTTGTCGAGAAGGAGGTGAGGGGGCTGCAGGAAGCCTTCTGGGGAGAGAATGCAGATTGCAGAGTTCTGATTGAACTGGAGCTTGTGAACAACCTCACACACTTCTAGTCCCACAACATTTAAGTGCGATTTGGGGACCCAAGAGTATTCACTGTAGTTTAACCAGCTAAAACCATAAAAGCGTAGCTGCAGATAGTTCTTAAACATACCAGAAATATTAATGATTTGTGATATCCAACATACATAAAATCCAATTAATGCAAAAATCTGCCACCCATATCCTAACCCCCGTCAAACTCTGTACCCCATCATCCCAGTACTTGCCCAGCTCCAAATTACAGAAAGAATTGATTTCAAGATCCTCACGCTCGCACAAATCATTTCAAGCATTGGCAACCTCCGCACTTGTCTGAGCTGCTTACACCCCACTCCTCTGCCCACTCCATTTACTCAGCTGGCTCCGGCCTCCTGCACACACACTCATCTCTTCCAATCCACCATCTGCAGCTGCGCATATAGCCACTGTGCCCGAGATTCTGGAACTGTCTGCCTCAATGCCTCCATTGTGTCCCCTCCTTGGCCATCTTCAGATCATACCTGAAGACCTTCGTCTTTGACCGGGCCTGCATCATTTCACCCCTCTCACCGGCTCCCCATCTAGCTCTGCCACTGTTAAGCGCTTTGAGAAGCTACCCATGTGAAAGCGCTATATAAGTGCAAGTTGTTGTTGTATTGAACCAGAGAATGAGAAGATATGCAACATAATTCCAATATTCAAAGACACCCACCCTCGCTCACCTCCACTGGCTCCCCATCCCCCAGAGGATTGATTTCAAGATCCTCATCCTCACCTATAAGGCCATCCACGGCCTTGCTCCCTCCTACCTCTCTGACCTACTATCCCCCTACCTACCTGCCCGTACCCTCCGTTCCTCCGGCTCTGCTCTGCTCCACGTCCCCCGCCCCAATCGCCCTACCATCGGTGGTCGGGCCTTCAGCCTCTCAGCCCCCAGGCTCTGGAACTCCATCCCCCAGTGCCTTCGCCTTGCTTCCTCCCTCTCCTCCTTCAAGGCCGGTCTCAAAACCTTTCTCTTTGACCGTGCCTTCAGCTGTCCTCTCAACTCTCTTCCCCCTCCTCGCTCCCTCCCTTCCCTCCCCTCACCCTGACCATTTCCCCCTCCTCGCTCCCTCCCTTCCCTCCCCTCACCCTGACCATTTCCCCCCTGCTCGGGTCCTGACCCAACTGTGCAGTGCCTTGGGACGTCCTCCTGACGTGAAAGGCGCTTTATAAATGGAATCTTGTTGTTGTTGTTGTTGTTGCCGTAGTGAGACCCAAGTTGAATTATAGGTCAGTACGAGCAAAACTGCTTGACCTGCTGCAGTTCTTCCGAATGGCACAGGATCTATACAGAGAGTAGTCAATATAGGTTTATTAGCTCTAGATTATGTGTTATGAATCTATCAGGATGATGGTGCTATAATAAATAAGTGGATAGTTGATTTTCAATTGATAAAATTTCACATCTAGGACTTTTGAATAAGGTGACATTTTCTGGACAAAGGAGGATAGGAAAAGGAATAAACTGAATGAAGAACCAAAGAAAAGTATTACTAGCATAACAACAACTTGCATTTATATAGCGTTCTTCATGTTTTGGAGTGTTTCATAAAGACGGGGTTGAATGGTGAACAAATGGAAACAGAGAGGTGACATAGGCATGGTCAATGAGCTAGCGTTTTAGGTTTGATTTAGATAGAGAGGGACCGAGATGGAGGAATAGACAGAGGAAAGTTCTAGAAATCAGGGAAACATCTGCCACCCCACTCTGCACCACGTTCGGTAACTGAGCCTTCAGCTACCGAAGGTGGTGCAGAGGGGGTGGCAGATGCAAAGCAGGCCAAAGTAAGCGGAACAGAGCAGAAGAGTGGGGTAGGAGAAGATTAGAAAGATAGGGAGGTGCTAGGCGGTGAACAGATTTATAGATGAGGGTGACCTTGAAGGCAATCTGTCGGGAGCCTGTGGAGCTTAGTAAGGACTGGGATGATGGGCATGCAGAGTTTGGAGTGCATAAACAACTGATGCAAAATGGCTTGGCTATACCAGAAGAGAGCCTGGTATTTCAAAATTCCACCAAGTATCAGTGAGGAACACGGTTGAACAGTTAACTGTATACTTAAACAAAATGCACATTATGCTTCTGAGAGTTGCCTGTGACTGAATAGAAATAAGTGTGTTAAGTGGTGAAGAGATAACAATTGCTTAAAAGATTTAAGTACTTTATGCTTGAAATTGACAATTTCCAGCAATCTCAAGAGTACTGTATTGCTATTATGGATTATGGAATGAAAGCTTTGATTTTCACTATCAGTGAATAATGCCTTCACTGTAAAGTGGTATTAATTTTTATGTCAAATAAAATAGAGCACTGCATTACTTAAGCTACAACATGTTTAATTTAAGGCTTTAGTTTTCTTTCAACTTTGCTCTTGTAAGTAAAAGTCAAATAATAATCTGTTACGGTGTTAAACAATTCCAACAGCTTTCTCAAACTAATTTTGTGTTGCATAAGCTTTTCTAAACTTTATTTGAACACATAGACAATTTAAAATTCACTGGTGGTTCAGCAATTAAATGAAGTACATTAAAATAATGCACGTCACACTAAAGATACTGACTGAATCATCCTTTTCTCAACATTAATAGGCACTAGAGAATTTTAAGCAGTCCCAGAATATTTCAATACTCACTGGACTGGCAATTTCTGCCCATGAATTCTCCGGGACACTCGCAGGAATAGTTTGCAACCAAGTCAGTGCAAATTCCACCATTTTTACAGGGTTCAAATTCACATTCATTTATATCTGTGGGGACAAATGGAGAAAAAAGTTGCATTCAAGTCAATGTGATTTATATAAACAGCAAAAATACATATCAATTCATTTAATGCTTATATTTTATATAGCATCTTTCACATCTCGAAGACATCCCAAAGCACTTCACAGGATATGTTGTGAAGTAGAGTGACTATGAATTCTGTAGGCAAACATAGTAGCCAATTTGTTTCGGCAATGTCCCACAAACCCACGTGAAATGTCAATTTTATTTGGGAGATTGCTGGCTGGGACCCTGGAAGGAACTCCCTTCTCTTTCCGTATAGCGCCATGGAACCTTGGCATCTCATCTGAAGGATGGCACCAACAAAAATGCAGCACACCCACAGCACTACATTGGAACTTCAGCTTGGACTATAAAGGTTCTTAGTCCAGACATAGCCCTTGAACTCACGAAGCAAAAGTGTTGCCAACTGACACACTTGTGCTGAAGTCTTTATTAATTCTGTGTTGCAACAGATCAGACATACAGCCATCAGAAGAGGTCACACTTGACCTGCGCAGAATTCAATTTAAAATTTCACTCTGCCAGCTCTGCTTTAATTGATCATCTAATCAAAGCGTTTCACCACATAGTTCACCCCATGAACTATTTTTTACTTTAGTTAATTGTTTCGAAACTGAATTCTTCTCAAATTCCCCAGGCTCAGCTGCAACGTGCCAGGTTATCTCCCTTTAGTCAGCTGAAACGTTACAGAGACAATTTGTTTAGACTAGCTGTCCCGAATCTGCTGGAGTTGTATAGTATTTGTTCTAGTGATTTGGACACTATGAAGTGACACAGTATGGATGCTTTGCTATCCTGACAGTAATTATCACCCAACGCCTAAGGCATCTGCAGGCAAACATTGTGAAATGAATTGGGACAGCAGCAGCTCATTTGCTGCAATGATTTCTTTTGTATGCCTTTGCTTGAAGCTAATAAATGACATTGATATGGGAGATGCTACCCGGCCCTCTCCTATTTTGGTTTTTCTGACACAAGAGCAAAGCAATCCGCAATAAACAATCACTTGGTAAAATCATCTAGATGATAATAGTGAAAAGCACTATATCAAATGCAAGGATTATTATTATTATAATCCTTGCACTTGGTACAGTGCCTTTCACGTCAGGAGGAGGTTTCAAAATATTTCACAGAACTTATTGTACATTGTAGTGGCGGTATTTTGTACACAAACATGACAGCCAATTTGGGCACAGCAATGTTCCATAAATAACCACTGAAAGGAAAAGGCCCTTTGGCCCATTTGATCGGATCCTTCCAGAACATCCACCCAACAACTCCCCCATCACAGCATCAAGCTATTTTCTAAATAATAATGAAATGACTGACCAATTTTATTGGGGATTGTTGGCCAGGACATTGGAAGAACTTCCTTCCCTTTAAATTCTATTTTGTAGGTGAAGTTAGGAACAATTTTCTTTTTAATATTAATTGCTCACAGGAAAACACAGGAGAGCTGACTATATGTGAGGACATAATATATAATAATCCTAAGCATTCGATATAGCTCCTTATCATGAGATTGAATCATCTTAAAGCACTTCACAAGATTTCCTATGCCAGCATGATACAGTGATAGCCTCTGAATTGGAAGGTTGTGGGTTCAAGCCCCACGTCGAGACTTGGAATCATAGTCTAAACTGACACTCCAATGCAGTGCTGAGAAAGTGTTTCATTGTCAGAGATGCCGTCCTTTGGATGAGACATTAAATTAAAGTTCTGTTTGTCTGGTCAGGTAGACATTAAAGATCCCACGGCACTATTTCAAAACAGAAGGGAGATTCTCAGGGTATTCTGACCAACAAATTCCTCAAATGAATTTGTTCCCTCACTCCATGACTGTTTGTGGGACATTGCGGTCAACGAAACTGGCTGCCCACAAAATACACAGTCACTCCACTTTACAATATATCCCGTGAAGTTCTTTGAGATGTCTCGTTGACGTGATATGGCATTGTATCAAATGCAAGGATTATTTATTATTACTGCAAAATGTACTGACTATTTGGAGTCCTGTAGCTTAGTGGTTAGAGCACTTGTTTCTCAAGCGAGAGGACCTGCCTCAATCCCTCCACTGTGCCCCTTCCTTGGCCATCTTCAGATCATACCTTAAGACCTTCATCTTTGACCGGGCCTGCATCATTTCACCCCTCTCATCAGCTCGCCATCAGGCTTTGCCACTGTTAAGCTCTCTGAGAAGCTACTCATGTGAAAGCACTATATAAATGCACGTTGTTATTATATTGAAGCACAGACTGAGAAGATACACAATATAATTCCAATATTCAAAGATGGAGTGAGACCCAAATTGAATTCTAAGCAGGGCGAAAAGTTGGCAAGTTTCCTTACTCTGTTAAGGTGCTATATGAAATGCAAGGATTACTATTATTATGAATTTGTAGGCAAATGCTTTTAGTTAGAGCAATGTCCCAGAAACAACCATGACCAATTTAATCTATGGGACTGTTGGCCAGGACACTGGAAGAAACTCCCTTCTCTTTCTTAATAGTACCATTAGATCTTTAACTTCCACCTGAACAAGCAGTGTTATGTATCATCTGAAGGATGGCACATCCATCAATGTAACACTGCCCCAGCACTGCAACGGAGTGTCAACATAGGCTGTGAGTTCAAAATCTTGATGTGGGGCTTGAACAGACAATCTTCTGACTCAGAGACAAGAGTGCTACAGTACCAACTGAGGCAGGTTGATTCCAAAATGTATTAAAAAGTGAAGTAGTGGTTGAAGGGACTAAAGCAAAAAAAAAGCACAGGGTTTCTGAGATGAAATGAGAGCTATCAAGAGCTATAGGTTTGAAGCTGCTCTTCCACAGAGCTCAGGATTTCCAGTACTGTATGGAGTCAAGCCAGGTAATGTGTTCCTAGACATGCCCCATCACTTTCAAATCACTTCCTTGTTCAGTACAAGAGTATTACCCCAATCTGGGGCTTTCAATGCCAATGCACTCAGAGAAACTGAAGAGAATTCCTGTTGGCCAGATACAGTTTCACATGCAGTTATGAAAGGTGATTGGGTTTCATTCTATTTTTGAAACTGAGTTACCATAAAAAAAATCTTAATTGGCTTTCAGAAGCAGCGATAGAAAACACAAGACTGACAATCGGGCATGATTGCTGGGGATTTCACCATCCTCTAAGCACAGATGGATGGAAATGGTTGGATTCAAATAAAAACCCTGAGCTCTGTGGAAAGGCAGTACAACAGAGGATCAGCAATTTTAAAATCAGACCTGTCTACTGTCATGCGACTCAAAGTTAAACATTTACTCCATGCTGTGCTTTTCCCTCTTTTTAAGCTATGGTTAACACAGAAAAAAGACACATTTAATCTGTCTGTTTTACATTTAGGATCTTCCAAATGCAATTATTGTCAAATTGGACCTATTCAGAGCTGGAGAGCTGCAGAGAACACAACATAATATTATCACAACTGAACAGTTCCTATCTCAGTATTTAATTATCAACTTAGAAAAATGTCATGATTTTTCATCTGGAACACTGAACATTTAATTTTTTTTTGGACTGGATAGATAAAGCTCCACTTGAAATGCATTGAAGCCATAAATCTCCATCGTAGCAAACTATTCAACCCTTGTAAACGAAGCCAAACTGAACATTTTGTAGAGGGTTGAATAAGTAAATAATCAGACAGTATCTACCACACACACACACACAAACAATTAGTTTTTTTATCTGGCAATATTTGAACAATGTTTAAACACTTGTGAAGAATCAAACCACAAGAAGTGGTTTTCTCTTATCCAGCGGTTGCTTTTTTTCTAGGATTTGCATCACGGAGAACTTATAAAGGAATAAAGATGGAAATAAGACGTTTCACATTAGTTACTGGAAACAATTAGTCTACACAACGTGGGGTGTGTTCTCAAGCTTCCAAGATGCCAATTTACTTCATTTCCAAATGTCATGGATAAACTAAAATAATAGTATCATCAGGGTTCACAGGTATGAATGACTTATCTGTTTCCAGTGTGTTTGAAAAATAGCAGAAATAGCAGCTACATGGACGCTCAGCATGCTAAGAGGGAGAGTGCCTGATTTAGTAGCGTTAGCAAATGTGACAAAATGACTGGCACATCACATCTAAATGTGTTGAAGCAGCAGACTTAGCAAGAATTACAAGAAATGTTCCCACTCTGGTTTAGAAGCCTTTACAACACAAGATGGTCTAGATCTCGAAACCCATTCTAAACTGGGCTACTCAAGAGCTGTGCCATCATGAGGAAGCCTTGTGGTCTTTTTGTCAATTCCATCTGAGTTGAAAGATAACAACTTGTCTTTATATGGCACCTTTCCACAAAGAGCAGCGTCTCAAAATGCTTTACAAAGAATATCCTTGGATGGGATGCTGATGGGTTAGTTGATGTTGAGGAGCAGAATAACCAAGTAAATTGTCTTCCTCAGTCATAAAGAGTCAAAGCAATAACAACAGCAACTTGCATTTATTTATCGTCCTTCACGCAGGGAAGTGACCCGAGCGTTTAAAAATAACGTCTGTTCCACTGCAATCTTGCTGTGAATCATCTATGCTATGAGAGAAAATAAGGAAACTAGAAGGAAACTGGCATCCCAGCAATCGCGTGCTATTTCATCTCCAACAAATTCCGGTAACCCCTTGTTATGAAAAGTGGAAAGGTGGGTCTATTGCTAGATAAACCAGATTTATTGCCTCTGCAATCACTCAAATAGTCAGACCTCACACCTATTGAAGGTGTTCATCAATTTGCTCTGAAGCACTGCAAACAATGTGCTAATAAACATGAAGAATGTACCGGACACCATGTCTGATAATCATGGCAATCAAGAGGGAGATGTGTTCTGCATTCTTAGCTGCTGAACTATAAATGTAAAATCATCCATTCTAACCTACCTCAGGACATTGGCACCCAGGGACCACTATTGGTGAGTGTCAAATAATCTTGTTTCTCAGGGATCTCTCAGGACAGTAGATATTGTGCATGTAGTATGATTGTAGGCACATCATGATCAACTTTATGTATGATACCAAAAAGATGGATAGTGCCATCAGATATATGTTAGGTAGCAATAATGTTCCTATATCAGGGAATCCATCTGAATTGTGGAATATTCACTTAGAAATCTGCTTAGCTGAAGCAAAACAGCGCCCTACCCAGAAAAATAAATCTTTAGCAAATTACCACAAACAAACTCTGGATTGTATGTACAAAAACAAACAGTAAGCAAGGAACCTACAGTGTGAGTGTTAGCTGCAAGAGAGCCTGAACATTTATCAGAGAGTGAAGAAAACTTTTGATCACATGTTCCTAAATATGACTTTAGAAACTGACAATTGAAAGCTTAATGATGATTCGTGTGCTGATTGAAGCAATTGACAACAGTGATGCTGTCAATGGTCCAAGTTTTTCAAGGTGTTTCCAGCAAATTGCCACTTTGAAAATGATTTAATCAGAAATAAGCAGCGTCCAGTAGCGCAAACTTTGCTGACTGAAACGAAACAGTATGGTGCACAATTCCATTCTACTAACATTTGCTATTCTTATTCTTATTGACTAGCAGACTAAAAGTCAGTAATTATGAACATTGTAGACTCAGGTTAGATATTCTACATATTCAACGTCTCAGAATAAAATGATTAATTCATCACATGTCCCTTACAATCATTTTGTTGTTGTTTGGAGCACAGAGACTTATGACCTTTTTTAAAGAATTGCCAGCACTGTTCATTACATGTGGTAAATTGTAAGCACATAATACAGTTTTTATTACATAACATATTCTTGTAATGGTTAATCCATTCAGTTTGAGCTATTAATGGCGTTTACTGTTAATCTATGCGAAATTTACTGTGAAATTCTGGGTCTTTTTAGAGCCATTAATATTTTTTAAATTAGCACCGATATTGGTTGTGTGAAAGTTTTAGAATATGTCTGGAATATCCCCATTATTATTCTTGTTCTGTCAGATGAAAATATAAGAGTACAATATTACATTTGTTTCTCTCTCTGTGATTAATTTTCTTTCAAGAAGAAAATGCTGTATAAATACAATGCAGAACCATGTTACATGCTGTATTAAGAATTGATACTTGGCACAAGCAATGTTTCCTTATAACTAGTTACTTTTCATAGCATCCATGCAGTAATATTGATACTTTTCGATGGACTTTGTATTTCCTCCTAAATGTCCCATACAATATATATCCCCATCCATGTAAAAGTAACCATTCAATAGATCTGTCCTAATTTGTAATTTGTAAATCAACACTGCATAGAAACAAGTTAGGTACAACAAAGTAGATATCACCCTTGCTAAGCTGGTAGCATGCTCATCTTTGGGTCAGAAGATTGTATCCTTCATATCAGGGCTTTGAGCTCATAGTCTGGGGCTGACACTCTATCACAATACCTGAAGGTACTGTCCTTCAGAAGAGATGTTAAACTGATGCCCTGTTTGCTTATTTAGGTGGATGCTAAATATCCTTTGGCACTATTCAAAAATAGTATGGAATGTCTTGACCTAAAATCTCCCGATAAATTGATTATTCACTTTAAAATGTCACTCGGGACATTCCTATGCACAAATTAACTGCCATGTCTGCCTAAAAATGCTACACGACAGCATATCATCCATTCTGGAGGCAGAAAGGTTTATATCCACATTTGGATTTTGTTAAGTAAGTACTGTAAGTGCTAGGGTTCACCCCTCCCCCTAACCAATATAAGTGAATGTTTGTGATAATGAAGAGGGTTTTACTGTGTGAAACCCCTGAAGCATCTGTTGGACCTTGTTTGCTAATCTGAAAAACAGTTTTCCATTGCAGCTGCTACCGTTTTGTTACATTTCTTTGCTGTTTAATCACATCCTTCCTTATAATGAGATCCAACCATTTTTTCTTATATATAAGTATTCATCCCAAAAATACACTTTACTGTATATCCTGTGAAGCACTTCACAATTTTTAGTGTTACTAGGCACAACTAAAATAATTGGTCATTCGCTTCGTGACTGTGGAGTCCTGTAGCTCAGTGGTTAGAGCGCTCGCCTCACAAGCGAGAGGACCTTGGTTTGATTCCCGGGCAGGGGGAAACATTTGGACAAGTTTTTACATGCCTCTGTTTACCTCGCAGTAAGTAGGATCCCAGTTGTTAGTTGATTGATGGGATCACTTTTCTGGGATAATAATTCCTTTAAAAAAAATAATTTGGTCACTCAATCTACAACTGTTTGAGGGACACTGTTGTGTGTAATTGGCTCCTGCGTTTCGCTCCACAAAATATACAGTCAATTCACTATACAGTACTTTACAGTATTTCTGTGAAAAAGTGATAAGGCGCTATATCAAATGCAAGGATTATTATTGTTGAGTGATATTACTATGTACCAATTAGCTGTTGTATTCAACCACAAAACACAGTCATTTCACATTACACTATATCCTGATGGGAAAGGCTTTATACTAAATGAAAGGAATATTATTATTTATCAGATATAAATATTATTATTAATAATAATACAGGTGGTAATGATTGGTAAGGATCATCAAATCTCCCATACATATTGCAGCCTATTCATATTTCTACAGAGGCCAATAAATCTGACTCATAATACAGTCGGAGTCCTAATCATGTCAGTATTTCTTTCCCAGATAACTACAAATTGATTTCAGAGCTGAACTTACTGTGCTGACAATGAATTCCATTGAATCCTTCGGGACATCTGCAGATGTATCCAATGAATGTGTCACCGCGGTAGGTGTCACTCACTTCACACATCCCGCCATGGTGACATGGGTTGGGTTGACAAGGTCCTGTACATGAAAATAAAACAGACAATTAATACTGAGGCATAGATGCCGGCAGCAAACATATTTATTCTAGCTTTCTAAAGCTTTTCAACATTTTTAGCAAACCAATTCTCATTTTCATATAAAATCTGCAATTGCACATTGAACCGTTCAAAGTTTGACCATGAAAAGCACAAATAACAAAGAGAAATCCTGTATTGATGTAGTCAGCTGAGTCCAGTGTCTCAGTGGCCACAATATAAGAGGATAAGAGGCGTAACAAAATTGCTGTCCCTGACATCACTTCCTGCATATTGCGCTATTGCACACTATTCATAGGCAATGCACCTGCCATCACTTCCTCCACAAAACATGCAGGAAGCAACATCAGCAGCCACCTGACAACCCAGTAGTTGACTATTTTTAATGACAAAAGCCGCCTAGTCAGGGCCGAAGCCTGTGTATTACATTGTCCACAGTGGACATACCCTAAACGCCAAGCAGCACCATATTGAAGGGCAATATAACTGGGTTCTTCTGTACAATGAAGAAAGTATTTTGTTCTTTCTTGCACATAAAACATAAAACTACCTTTCAAACTACCTTTGAATGCGCTTTCAGCCACCTTTCCCCTTCCCTTCCCCCTTGGCTCCCATCACGAGCTTGGGTGCCAAGCAAATATTGTTAAGCGTGTAGGGACAACTTCTCAATATGAAATTGCATGTAATATTATAACTGGTGACTCCAAATATAGTGAAACACAGCCATTAGTTATCATTTACCTTAGAGTGTGGGTGAGGCAAGTGATGACTTTTGGTAAAGTTTTTGGTCAATGTGATCATTATCACTGTCGCTATTATTATTAATGGTGATAATAAGACAAGAGACATTATTGGTCATAATATCACATGCTGCATCCCCCCCATCCTCCCAGAACCAATTTAAGCAGATTTATTTAGAGCTAAAAGTAGGCTCATCCCAGGGTTGACTAATCTTAGTTAACTGGATTCATGTTTTTTGGGGTAAAAATAATAATCTGCTCAATTTGTTATGACTATTTCCACTCATTTTCTAATTCCTACTCTACCCCAACTCTGGAAGGATTAAACTCAGTTAAACCTGGAAGGACTCAGAAGTAGCACTGCTGCATCGACAGAATCAACACTATATCAGTAAAGTAATGTTGGACTAATTCGGCCATTGTTTTACTGCTTTCAGAAAGCTATTTCCTCATTCACAGGTACATTCTCAATACAGATTGCTGATGGATTCATAAAGTCCTTCATTTCCTTTTAAGCCTTGAAAAACGTTATTATACCCTTGAGGAAGGAATAAATGATGTACTGACAAAATGATCAAATTGAACTACTATTGAGAAGGAAAACTAATTACTCTGTTGGACTGTGTTTACCATCAGTATATTCAACTCTTAGGGGCAATGTAGAAATCTGTGGAGTAAGGAGCTTGGTGGGTAAAGTAGTTAAAAGAAACGAACAGCACTGTATCACTCAATTTTACAGTGTCATTTATCACATGGAGAACAGAACAAAAGCAGTAATTCCTTATGACTCCAGCCAGTGCAGTGATTAAAGGTCAGCAGAATTTGACCGAATCAGCTAAATAAGCCTTGATGGAAGTGTAAAAAAATTCTAAAGCATGTATAGAATCTTCAGACAACTGTTACTTTACTCCACTGGCACAATTTAGAGTCATTACAGGCTTTTTCAAGCATTAGATTAAGACATCAAAGGTTTTTTTTAAAAAAAGGCATTTAAAACCTGTCCGACCACATCTTCATTTGCTTAAAAAAGGAAGCTGGATTCGGTTTTGAGTGACCATCGTTTTGTCAATGTGTTTCAGTCACCGCATTCTCTTGATTTAGAATGGTTATATAACACAACCTTCTGTAGGCTTGAACTTCCTCATTCTTTTATTGTATAAACTTTGGAACAGGGGCAAATAATGTGGCTTATCACTCTTGCTCCATTATTGTATTAGTTCACAGCAGCTCTTTATCTTTCAAATCCCAGGTCCAATCTTTCCTCCATAGAGCTATTTCCCAAGTACCAACTATCTCCTAACCATCTCAATGATTGTTCAACTAAGGTCTTCTAGGGCAGTGCATTCCACATTCTCACAGTCCTTTTATTTTCTAGATTCCCTTGTAACCAGCTTAACTCTAGTTTTACGGTTACAACTCTTAAGCGTCATTCCCTATTTATCTTGTGAATTGCCTTTTCCCCTTTTTAGATGGTTCACAACCTATCCTTACACCCCTTCTTGTGACAAGTTGAAGATTTTAAACAATTAAATGGCAACAGCTTCCAGATAAATTCAATTCACAGAATATGACCCTTTAATAAAAACCTACTATTAGGAACTTATTCCTTGGAAAACCCAGTGTTTTTAAAAATGCAAATTGAATGTTCAGTGCAAAGAGATTAGATATGTTGACTGCTTCTGCTACATTCAAGTCAGAAAACTTTAACATCATTGTATCCAAAGAAAGACGTTTCATCTGATTCAAATGGAAAACAAGATATAAACAAGGTTTGCTACTTCTGCCACAATGAGAGGAGAGAAAGGCACTGTCTCTGCTTTATATTTGGTCTACAGTAACCAGTTAATCGTGTGAAGGTCCATTTCAAGTATCAGTTCAATCCATAATTTCAAGTCCTGAACAAGCCATTTTCCTGGGATCGCCATTACTGATAACATGTAAACTTCCAGCCATTAAATTACTGAATGAAATCATGAAGGTTCAGGTTTATTAGATGATGAGTAAGATTTGTTGAAGTGATATTTTGAGAACTGATACTATCTTACTAACATCCTTTCAGGCTGAATAATTCCCAGTTTCACCTAAAAAAAAGCCACTCCACTTTACAATGTATTCTGTGAAGTCTTTTGAGACTTCCACTTGCTGTGAAAGGCACTGGACCAAATGTAAGGATTATTATTTACTATTATTTATAGATACTCTTTATTTCTTGGAAATTAGATTTCTGTTTTGGGCAACTCTTTACTGTTACTCAAATCTGATGTACATATTGAATAACCAACAAATACACAGTCACTACACCTAACAGCAATTCCCTGTGAACCATTCTCCCATGACAGCCTCAAGCTGTTTCTTGAATTAACCCAGTGTTCTGGCCTCGACCAACCTTCCTGGGAACCTATTTTCCGCATTAATAACCGACTGGATAAAAATATATTTCCTGGTCGCTGTCCGGAAAAGGTCTTTGCTACCCTAAGCCTATCTCCTTTTGTTCTTCTGCCCTGGTATGTCTGCAAATATTGCTCCGAGTTTACTTTCTCAATTCCATTTAAAATCTAAAACCCCCGAAAAAGTCTCTTCTGAGGAGTCTCTTTTCAAGGCTGAAGAGTTTTGCTGGTCTGTTCATTGATACTCACTCATTCCGCTAACAGTAGGGATCACCCTTGTTGCTCTCCTTTCCATTGGCTCTAGAGTCTGGATTGCTTCCTTATGTCAACAATAAAGCTCAGCATCCTGCTTGTCTTGTTTATTGCTGCTTCACACTGTTTTGACATGGTGAGCAACCAGTCAAGTATCTTTCAGCTTCCTGTTCAACAAATTGTATCATATCCAAGAAGGATATTTGGTTCATATTCTAATTTCCTATATTTAGCACCTAGCATTTATTTGCATTCAACTTCATTTACCATTCATTAGACCATGATCATACCCTATCAAGCATCCTTTGTAGGAACTTTTCTGTTTCTTCTAATTTCATAACTCAACAACAACAACATTTGTAAAGTGCCTTTCGGGCCAGGAGGATGTCCCAAGGCGCTGAACAGTCGGGGATCAGGACCCGAGCGTGGCTAAAGGCATGGTCAAAAAGGAGGATCTTGAGACATGCCTAAAGGAGGGAAAGGGAGGGAGCAAGGCAAAGGGATTGTGGGATGGAGTTCCAAAGGGTGGGGGCAGAGAGGCTGAAAGCAGGCCGCTGATGGTAGGGCGGGTCGGGCAGGAGATACGGAGCAGGCTGGAGCCTGCTTAACGGAAGGAGCGGACAGGTTGATAGTAAGATAGCAGGTCAAAGAGGTAGGAGGGGGCAAGGCCGTGGATGACATTAAAAGTGAGGACGAGGATTTTGAATTCTATCCTCTGAGAGATGGGGAGCCAGTGGAGCTGGGCGAGGGTGGAGGTGATGGGGTCACGGAGTCTGGTGCAGGAGAGGACATGAGATGCAGAGTTCTGGAAGACCTGCAGCTTGTGGAGGGAAGAGTTGGGGAGGGCAACAAGGAGGGAGTTTCCATAGTTGAGCTTTGAGGTGACGAATGTATGTAAGAGAGTTTCAGAGGCTTGAGGGGTGAGGCAGTGGCGGAGTCGGGCAATGTTGCAGAGGTGGGGGAAGGCAGAGTGGGTTGTGGCATGGACATGGAGGAGAAAGGACAGTTGAGGGTTGAACAAGACACCATGTTCCTGACTGGCTTGATGAAATGGAATATGTATCCATGGAGATACTGAACTCCTGCCAATACTACTGTATCTATCAATTTAGCTATGTTACATTGGGTCTACAGATCCAAGTCATTAACATATACAAGGAGGAGGTGGGTTACCAGTTACCTGCTGCATTTTGCCCACAAAATATACAGTCAATTCACTTTACAGTATATTCTGTGGTGCTTTGAGACATCTCACTATATCAAATGCAAAGATTATTATTATTATAATAAAACCCTGAGCAGCCTGCTTAGCACCTCCTTGCCTTTTTGACCTAGCTCCACTTACATCTACTCATTGCTTTCTTTGTAGGTTAGTCTGACTCAATTGGTAGCACTTTTACCTCTGGGTCAAAAGATTGTGGGTTCCCCACATCGAGATTATGAATCCACAGCCAAGGATGACATTCCATTGCAGTGCTGGAGTGTGCTGGCCATCGAATGAGACATTAAACTGAGGCCCCCTCTGCCTTTTCAAGTGGATATTAAAGATCCCATGACAGTGTTCAAAAAGAGTTTTTCCCTGTGTCCTGGACAATAACTCCCCA